GGTTTCTGTGATTATATAACGGTAGGGAAATAGGGGAAGCCCCATCAAATAAGTTAGTTACAATTCTCAGTGGGGTAGCCATGTTAGTCTGCAACTTTAAAAAAAAAAAAGGAGTAGTCCTATGGCACTTTAGACACTAACAAATATATATAGTAAAATGAGCTTTTGTAGGCAAAACCTACTTCTTCAGATGAGCAAAGTGGAGAGTGAAAAATTTGAAATTGGGAAATTGCTTCACCTATGTAGGAATTTAATAATGGTATATGTAGCCTTTCATTTCTGAAGAGTTAAGCTGAATCCATCTTGGGCTGGTAATTACTAAAAGCTGTTGTCAGACTGATTTTCTGTGGTCTATTTGAAGTAAACAGGAGATCTCAGTCCAGTTCTTAATGGATCCCACAAATCAACACCACAATTGGCAATTATTAGCATGTTAGTTGACAAGCTCCCCACTAATGCCAAAGATTGAAGGATCAGGGGGACTCAACTACCATCTCTGTAGTAGAGATGCTCCCATTTAAGTCAGGGCTGAGACTCATTGGAAGAAACTTATTTTGCGGCCTATGCTACATCTGCATTGGAGACAAACAGAAAACAGTCTAGAGTCTGCTTTTTGCTGGCATACTTACCATCAAGGGACAAATGTCATTAATTATTTCTTAAATTAACACATTATGGAAGCTTTCTAGGAAACCAGAAAGTGACAGAAAGCAGAAAGGAATGATAGAAAACGTAAGTTTTAACTTATTTCTGTGGTGCAGTTCACCTTTTCAAGTAGGCAAGGTCACCTCTCCACATCCTTTTTCTAAGTAAAGGTGCTTGGCAGATTGTATGGTCTCAATATATCTGATTGCAATGTAAGGATAAGGCCTTTCTCTGTAGCCATATTTTAAAGCCTGTAGCAATATTGTGAGGCCTGAAACCTAAGGATTTATCTGCAGCCAGATTGAAAGAGAGGCAGCTAGTAGCTGAAAAGCAAGGAGTCACATACTCTCATTCCATCTAAATTGCATTAAAATAGTGTGATATCAGGCTGTGAAGAAAGAGACCCAGTCCTAACACCATCCAATATCACCAGACACAGAAACAGATCTCAAGATGGTTAAAGAAAATTGAGTTTGATAGCATTTTAATCTGGCAAGAAACTACTTATAGTTGGGATTGTGAAATCCTCAGTTCCACGAGGCGTACAGATAGTTCAGAATAACTACGTAGTTCGAACTATCTAGCCCGTGCCGCATGTAGCCGCGCGGCACGGGTTTCGCACTAGCCGGCTTTTAAAAATGGTGGAGCCGGCTTTATGCTAATAAAGCCCGGGAAATTCAAATCCCGGGCTTCATTAGCAAGTGCGGTATGCATACATTACCCCGCTAGTTCGAACTAGCGGGGTAGTGTAGACATACCCTGAGTTCATACAGTTCAATTAGAACCTTGCTGGGTGTTTGAGGAGTTTGATTGTTTTCCTCCAATGGGCACTTGTGTTATAGTGATCGACACTGCGGTTCCTCTACCATTTGTTGCCCACTCCCCTGGCTTGCTCAGCTCCCTCTGAGGACTTCTGACTCTGAGCTAAAGAATCTGGAGACACCTGCCAACATCGCCACCTCCGTGCTCAGCCCCTTTTGTAGACTGGTAATAGCTAGAAAATATCAACGGCACCATTTCCTATGAAATGTGTCACCACCACGCTATGTGTCTCTCCCTTCCCAGGTACCTGGAGGAGTCCAATCCACACATCGGCCACCTCATGTCTAATTTCAACCTCACCTCTTCTGACCCTTCTGTATTCATCCTAATGGGCATCCCTGGCCTGGAAGCAGCCCACATCTGGATTGCCATCCCCTTCTGTGTATGCTACCTTATCAGCCTGTTGGGAAATTTCCTGATTCTGTTTGTGGTAGGCAAAGAGCAGAGCCTGCACACGCCGATGTACCTGCTGCTCTGCATGCTGGCACTCACCGACATCGGCATGTCTTCCTCTGTTGTGCCGAAAGCCCTGTGTATATTGTGGTTCAATCTGAAAGACATTACTGTGGGAGGTTGCCTCACTCAGATGTTCTTCCTTCACATGGTTATTGTGATGCAAGCAGCTGTTCTCAGCATAATGGCCTTCGATCGCTACATTGCCATATGCAACCCTCTAAGATACGCCACCATCCTCACCAATGCACGCGTAGCTAAGCTAGGGCTAGCGGGTTTGGTAAGAGCTGTTCTCTTAGTTTTGCCCATGCCTCTGCGCCTGAGCAGCCTGCCGTTCTGTGCCAACCACATTATCCCCCACACATACTGCGAGCACATGTCTGTGGCAAAGATCTCCTGTGGGGACATCACAATCAGTCGGACTTATGGATTGGGAATGATATTATCAGTCTCTGGGTTAGATCTGACACTCATTGCTCTGTCCTATGGACTGATCATCAGAGCTATCCTCAAAGTCTCCTCCAAGACAGCCCACCAGAAAGCCCTCAACCCCTGCACAGCCCACATCTGTGTGATTCTGGTGTCTTACTCTTCCTGCCTCTTCTCCTCTCTGACACAAAGGTTCGGCCAGAGCATCCCTTCCCCAGCACAAGTCATTATTGCCAATGTCTATGTCCTTGTCCCTTCCATGTTCAACCCCATCATCTATGGGGTCAAAACCAAAGAGCTTCGTGCCAAAGTGAGTAAATACATCTGCAGAAGGCAATCACCTGGGACTACTGACTCTAAACCTGCATAACAAGAAGGGGGAAGGAGACGAAGAAGGGGAAAAGAGACCTCCTCATTAAACAATTGTGCTCTGCCCCAATTTAGCTTCAGCTCAGCATGGGAGACATTCATAGTCTCAGCTGTTCCTCATAGCCAAGGTCTTAGCACTGTGTGACTCGGTTGCTTAGTTGTCTCTTTCTGATCAACAGCATTACCCATAAGACCTCTCCTCAACACACCCTGGGACTTAGAATTTCTGTGACTTCCAGGCTACTGGAAAATATTGCAGTTTTCTGACAGAAAGTTTTGGTTTATGAACCTTCAACATTAATGAAATAATTGAAAAAAATTAACATTGTTTTAACTACTGTGCTCCAAAGAATGATCCCAGAAATGGTAAATGCTGTTTCAAAACTGCTGCCACCCAAGGACGTGGTGATTAAGAAACTTTTTTCCAACTTCCCATGTTTTACAGGTGTGTCGACACCATAAATGCCCCGATTCCCAGTCCCTGTCACAGCTTACAGGTGGGAGTGGATCAAATCAGTGTCATTCCAGCAACGATGCTTCATGCTGCCCATGGCAAGGATCTGTGCCCAGGTGCTGAAACCAACAGACATTTCTCAGGCTTCTCCTGGGCAGGTGCTTGCATTCTTCAACAATTGGGTGCTGCCCAGGTGAGGTGTGGGAATGTGTGGAGGGAGATGCCAGCTGGGTGCCTCATTTGTCAATCTAGTGCTCTGTCTGTCAACCCCAGGCCACTGGAGATGATGCAGCAGGGTCATGTACCCGCAGTGGGGGGAGTAAAGGGGAAAGCCCAGGCCCCAGCTACCAAGGGGTGAGAGCAGGAATCCGGGGTGACCACGGGGAAAAGAGCAACAAGGGGCATAGCAGGGCTGCAGACTAGACCCAGGCCACCATTTTGTGCTTTCCTGCCCCCAGTATTGTAAAAGGAATTTCAAACTATTATCAGCAGTGCGCTGAGCGTGAGAAACGGCTTCCCTGAGAAACGGAGGCAGCTGTGACTCAGGGGGAGACCCGCACGTAACAGCTGCAGGGAGGGCAGCAAGGGAAGTCCCAGCCAAGTGCAGCAGCTGAAAATATGGCAAAGCTTGTTTCCCACTGGGGTTTCCATGGAGCGTGTCCAGTGATGGTCCCAGGCCTCATTGTGCGGTAGGCCATGACATACTCACAAGCAACAGGACACGGCCCTGAGAGATACCCCAGCAGCTCCAAAGAGACACCCCACCTGCGTATGTCACCTCGCAGAATATTTTGAGAGGAAACTCAGGAGCAGCCACTCCCCTACACACCCAAAGGACTATGATCTACCCCTACTTCAGAGCCCACTGCTTCCATGGGGCCTGCCGGGCTGTGCCTAGAATTCAATAGACATGTTCAGGGATCTGGGTCTGTGAATCAACATGAAAAGCTCAAGCTGCACCTCCTGCACAGCCCAGCGTTTATAGGGACCAACTTCCACTTTGCCACAGGCCAAATCACTCCTGTGTCAGCCCATGTTCCTCTCCCCTTGGCCGTGCTCATAGAGACGGTCCAAACAGCCCGTGGATGTTAACCAGACATGGCCTCCAAGTCATGAGTCGATTTTTCATTTTAAAATGTTATTCCAGTGGATGTTGGAATCTTTTGGCTGGACTGTGTTGTGGGCCAAGAGCTGAAATCACGGAGACACTGACATCACAGAGAGCTGAAATCACCAGGTTTGGCCTAGAGCCAAATCCATCACATGTGGCCGGCTGGCAGGAACGGCAGCAGGTGGCCAGCAAAGCGTCACCAGAGAGCAGTAAGCAGATGGATGGTGAGTGACCAGAGGAGTGGGTGAGATGCCTCTTAACCTCCACCCCCACCTCACACACACTCCGAATCGGAGCTAAATTTCAGAAACTACCTCTGAACTCTGGTCTGATCTGAACAAGGGCAGCAACTGTGAGTGGGGTGCAAGGAAGGGTTGGGCATGTGAATGGGACACTTACATTGCTGGACTTGTGAGCCTGAGAGGCAAAGGACACTGCCTGATATCCTTGAGTGGGGATGTTCACGAGTGGATTGGTTATGAACTCTGTCTGTGGAGTTTTCCCAAGTTAATGTCACATCACATCTCTCCCTCTTTCATTAAAAGTTTCTTTTTTATGCTCAGACTCTTTGTTTGCGCTTGGGGAAGCATTGCCCCTCGGAGGCACACAGGGGTGTGTGTGAATTTTTCAGGCTACAGGGTGGGGGCTTGAGCCAGTTCTGTGTGGGATGGATGGAAAGGAAGCTCTAGATGTTGAACATGGCCCTGGCCATTGCCCATGCTATCTGGAAGAAGGATAACAGTACAAACAACAGGGATTCCCAATAGACTCACTGATCCTCAGGTGCTTTCCCCCAGGCTCTATAAACACTGCCACGGCCTGTCTGGCAGACACAGGGAATGTCTCTACCCTGAGTGTTCCCGCTCATCTGCTCGGGGCTTGTGGTGGCCGATCTCCAGCTCTTGTGTTGGTGGTTTTGGTAAGTGCCCTGCTCAAATTGCATCGATTTCACTTATAGTAACAGGCAGTCTCAGTGGTGGGAGTCATTTCATCTGTGAACAAAGAGCTGCTCATTTTATTCTCAGCGACATTATCCCTTATTTTGTGAAGTCTCCCATTGCCCTAGGATGACAGGTCCCTGCCTTGTGGTGTTTACTCGACAAGCGCTCGGTGGTGCAAACATTATGTACGTGGAGTGGAATTTTCCATGAGTCAGGGATACAAACCCCAATGAAACCTGGCTTGTGTCCTCAACTGCCTGTGGCACTTTTCTGTGAGTGTCACTGACTTGCTGGGACTGTGTGTGGGATTAAGGAGCCTGGAGCCTTGCCACACCTGAACTCTGGTCTGCCAACAGCGATAACCTCACTGACAGTCCCTAGCCTCACATGCTGGACAGGAAGGGCGCCAGTTACCATGGAAAAGCCAGCACTGAATAGCCCATGGGTAGTTTATAGACCACAGCAGAGGCTGTTTTAACCACTGAAAGAATGACAGGCCCTACCTGGGGCTCCTGTAGTTTGTGGAGACATGGGGCTTGTATGGCGTGTAGAGCCTCTCAGCGTCTGTCTGCCAGGTACCCTATGTGGGACATTTGAGCTCTATGTCTTTGTTCCAATAGAACTGAATTTCAATGTGGGGTTTGCCTGAGTCAGGAATACTTATGCCTGCTAAGTTATTCCCAGTCCCTGTCACAGCTTACAGGTGAGAGTGGATCAAATCAGCATCATTCAGCCAACGATGCTTCATGCTGCCCATTGCCAGGATCTGTGTCCAGGTGCTGAAATCGATCCCAACAAACATTTCTCAGGCTTCTCCTGGGCAGGTGCTCGCATTCTCCAACAATGGGGTGCTGCCCAGGTGAATCATAGGAATGTGTGTAGGGAGGTGCCTCATTTGTCAATCCAGTGCTCTGTCTGTCAACCCCAGGCTGCTGGAGATGATGCAGCAGGGCCGTGTTCCCCCGGTGGGTAGAGTAAAGGGGAAAGCCCAGGCCCCAGCCACTGGGGGTGAGAGCAGGAGTCTGGGGAGACCATGGGAAAAAGAGCAACAAGGGGCACAGCAGGGCAGCAGACTAGACCCAGGCCACCATTTTGTGCTTTCCTGCCCCCAGTATTGTAAAAGGAATTTCAAACTATTATCAGCAGTGCGCTGAGCGTGAGAAACGGCTTCCCTGAGAAACGGGGGTGGCTGTGACGCAGAGCGAGACCCGCACGTAACAGCTGCAGGGAGGGCAGCAAGGGAAGTCCCAGCCAAGTGCAGCAGCTGAAAATATGGCAAAGCTTGTTTCCCACTGGGGTTTCCATGGAGCGTGTCCAGTGATGGTCCCAGGCCTCATTGTGCGGTAGGCCATGACATACTCACAAGCAACAGGACACGGCCCTGAGAGATACCCCAGCAGCTCCAAAGAGACACCCCACCTGCGTATGTCACCTCGCAGAATATTTTGAGAGGAAACTCAGGAGCAGCCACTCCCCTACACACCCTCAAATGAGACACCCCAGCTGCATATGTCACCTCGCAGAATATTTTGAGAGGAAACTCAGGAGCAGCCACTCCCCTACACACCCAAAGGACTATGATCTACCCCTACTTCAGAGCCCACTGCTTCCATGGGGCCTGCCGGGCTGTGCCTAGAATTCAATAGACATGTTCAGGGATCTGGGTCTATGAATCAACATGAAAACTCAAAGCTGCACCTCCTGCATGGCCCAGCATTTACAGGGACCAACCTCGACTTTGCCACAGGAAATCATTCCTGTGTCAGCCCATGTTCCTCTTCCCATGGCCACACTTAGGGTACGTCTAAACTACATGGCTCCGTCGACCCTCATCCTCCAGTAAACCTCATCCCACGAGGAATAACGGGGCTGCTGACAAAGGGCTTTGATGTCAGCAGGGGAATGTCCAGACTAGCGCGCTGAGCGGACAAACAGCTCATTAGCTATTTGTCGGCTCAGCGAGGCAGCCCTAATCGCGGCTTCATTTGCCTTTGCCTATAATCCTAATCTACATGGCTCCATCGACGGAGCCATGTAGTCTAGACACAGCCTTATAGAGACAGTTCTAAGCCCTCAGATAACAGTCAGGCATAGCCTCCCCCGCATAGGCCACAGATATCTTGTGCCATGCAGTGTCCCAGATTTGGTTCAGGTTGCAAAGGGGGTTGCTTGCCTCAGTGTGTAGTGGGCAGGACAGAGAGGGGATCTGGTTTCTTCCTCAGACACTAAATGGCAGCAAGCCAGGGAGCCCCAGTCTTGTGGTCTGGAGAGCACCCAGTTGCAAGAACAGGGCTAGCATAGCGGGGAACAATGACGAGCACATTAGTACTATGGGGCACTTATGCTACGTATCCCTCAATAAACATTGGCTCCGTCTAGACTGGCACGATTTTCCCCAAATGCTTTTAACGGAAAAGTTTTTCCGATACAAGCATTTGTGGAAAAGAGCGGCTTGATTGGCACTTTTTGTGAAAAAGCGTCCGTGCCAATCTAGACGCGGTTTTGTGCAAGAAAGCCCTGATCGCCATTTTCGCCGTCGGGGCTTTTTTGCGCAAAACAGTTCTCAGCTGTCTACTCTGGCCCTCTTGTGCAAAAGCATTTGCACAAGAGAGCTTTTTCCCGAACGGGAGAGTCATTGTATTTGCGGAAGAACACTGACAATCTTACATGAGATCGTCAGTGTTCTTGCGCAAATTCAAAGCGGCCAGTGTAGACAGCTGGCAAGTTTTTC